TCAGGCCCCCACCAAGAATTGCCCCTCTGGCCACAGCGCTGAAGGAGGGGTGTCCAGATTAGCAGCACCCTCCACCCTAGGGGAGCCCTTCTCAGGCAGCATCCAGGGCTCAGAAGGCTTTGGGGATGTGGGACAGAAAGGGGTCACTCTCCAGGGCCATCTGGGCCTCCTGCTCATGGCCCACTGCCCAATCCCCGGACACAGGAGTGGAGCTGCTCCCAACACACTGGGAAAGGAGCCAGACAGGACCCAGGATGAAGTGCAGCTCTCCCTGCCCTTCCCCTACTCCTACCCGAGACATGAGCACTGTGGGATCCCTGCCTGGCCCACACTCTGTCCCTTGGCTGTCACACACACCCTGTCCCCAAACATCCCTCAGTGGTTAGGCCAAGGCTGGCCACCTGCTGCCTGAACTGAAAGGATGGGCACACAACAGGCCCTCCCCCACCCCCGAGTCCTGCACACAGCTCTTTGCAGGGCCTTTGACCTCTTGTGCAGGCCCTTCTGGGGTTCTTCTCTTTGGTTGCCGGCCTAGGGTAACACACATGGCCTCTCTGACCTTTCCAGAAGCCTTGAGCCACAGCCCTATAGAATGCCAGGGATCAGGGCTTGGGGACCAACCTGCTGCCCATTGTCCAGCCTTCAATGTCCAACCCACTCCTGAGGGCACCTGGAGTGCCTTCAGTACCCATCCAGTCACTGCTCGTGACCACCAGCATCCTGTCGCCAGGCTCCATGCAGCCCAAGGAACCCCACAGGCCCTCATGGACCCTGCCCCACACTCACCGCAATGTCAGCCCCCGCCACTGTGGCCCCGTCCCCAGCATACCACCCCCACCCCAGTTTCACACAGCAGAGGCAAGATACTGCTGAACACTGACGGAAATTTATTGAACAGAAACATGTAAGGAAACCGCAGAAGAGAAGGGAATCTTAACACAGAGAGAAACTGCAAACAGTTGCCACAGGTCCCAAGTCTCAGGCCACCTTCCTCAATGTGCGCCCCCTGGCACATCCCTCCTTCCAAGGGTGGTAGACTCTGGCTAGGTCTACTCGCTTCAGGTCACCCCCTCCTGAGCCCACCCACCTGGGCGGGGCCCTGCCCTACGGTTTGCACAGGACAGTCACAGGATGCTGGAAAACACAGCAGGGAACACCACTCCAAGTTGAGGAAACTGAGTCACAAATAACAACAGGGGTGGAACGCCAAAGCACAAAGTTTCCCTGGGAGCCTCAGGCAGCCCTGCTCCGTCCCAGGTCCACTTCATCCTCCGGCAGTCGAGGTCACAGTTACAAGGTGAGCATCTGCCATGCCTCCTTCCCACTGTCTCCTGGAACTGCGCTGGGGTACGCTGGAAAGGAGCTGCTCAGATAAGAACACACACACCCCCAAGAGAACCAGCAGTACCTGACTGAGATCTATGCCAGTAAAGAAGAGGTGGAGTTCATGACACAGAACAGCAGTGAGCAGAAACCGGGTCCAGTGATGATGCAAGCCAAAAACTACAAAACCCCAAGTCCTCCCTTCTCCTCCTCCTGTTCCTCCTTATCCTCCTCCACCTCCTTCTGATTCTCCTCCTCTTTCTCCTCCTCACTGACGCAGGGGCTCATGGGTGCTGCCTTCCTGGGGCTCCCCTAGTGCAGTGTAGATGATCCTGTAGACGGGCTGAACCCTGCGGCCTCCCCTGCGGGGCTTTACCTCTCTGCCCCACAGCTCTTCCTCACCAGCCCTGGCTCCCGGCAGGGGCAGGCCCCAGGCAGGCTCCTCAAGGTCCCACATGGCCTGGGGATCGAAGTCCACAGGCTGGGTATTTGGGGGTGGCCAGATGAGCAGGCCAGAGCCCTCAGACACACCTTCTTCAGCCTCTGCTATGTTGGGGCCCCCATCTAAAGCCCAGGCACCCCATGTGCTAAGTGTAGCGGCTCCCCGCTTGTGTCTCCTATACCTCTTAGGGGCCATGGGCCTGGCCCCCACTGAACCACATGCTATTTGGTCTTGGTTGGTAAAGTCCCTTCCAATTGGTAGAAAGTAAGGGGACTTGGTCTCAACCTGGCTTCCCTGTCCCTCTGCCCCAATCAAGTTCCCTATTTGTGTAAGCTGTCCTTTCCCCTTGTTAAAATGTCCCTGCTGCGTGCCAGGGGAAGGAGTGCCTGGATCTTGTGAGCCTATGCTTCCCAGGGCTTGGGATGGCTCATGGCCCCAGCCCCTGCCTCGTTTCCCGACTCCGCTCCTTCAGCCTGTGGCCCCTCCCTGTCTGGAGTCTGGTTTTCCTCCTTGGGACACGTGGCCTGGCCGCAGTCTTCTTCCCCAGGGCTTTCACTGCATGACAGCCGCCTGCGCTTCACTAACGGGGGTAAGCCTCCCTGTATGGTCTGGGTGCTGCTGTCCGTAAAAGACCCCGGCTGCACAGTGACCTGAGGGGCAGACGCACTGACTTCTGCTCTTGCCTGTCTCCCCCGGCCTCTCCCTGAAGGCTTCTGCTTATCCTTCATCACTGCCGTTGTGGTCTCCCACTCCTCCTCATCTCGAACGAGCTTCATTAACTCCAGAAAAGTGGGAGGACACCCTCGCTGATCCAGGAGCTCCAGCTTGCCCCGGAGGGCAGCAGTCAGGGAGACCCGAGCTAAGATATGTTTCAGGCGAATCGTGTCTGTGCTGCGCGCTGACACGGGGCTGTGCTGCACGGCTTTCTGCAGCAGGGGCTCTAAGCGCAGCAGGAAAGCCGAGATTTTCTCTCCAGCCTTCGGAAAGGTCTGCAGAAACCTAAACTGGGAGGTTCTAATGTCCTCTTTATCCCCAAAGATCTGCTTTAGGGCGTCAAGGCACTGCTCCACAGTTATGGAGTCATTGTTGGCCCGGAGCACCCGCATGATTGACAGAGCAGGCCCGCGTAAGCTCTCCAGCAAACGCCGCCTCTTCTCCATTTCAGACACTTGCCATATGGGCATGATCTCAGTGACCTGCTCTAGCCAGACCTCAAAGGTCTCTTCGCCTGGGCTAGGGAAAGCAGTTCCCGAAAACACTTTCAGTTTCCGGTACCACATACTTTCTTTCAGAGGCTCCAAAGGTGGGGGTCTAACTCGGGGCATGACCTCTGCCTCCAGGCTCTCGGCAGGTAAGCCGCCACATCCCAGGGCTCTGGCCACATCTATCATTCTTCGGCCCTCATCTTTCAGGAAGTAGTTCAGTCTACTGAGAAACTCGTCATCTGGGTTACGGGGCTTTACCACCACCTCCCAGGAGCCCCCCCTTCCCAATATCTCACTGGGCAGAGTAGCATAATCGACAGTGTCAGCCAATTCAATGAAGACTGCCTTAGCATTGTCTTCCCTCCTGAACATTCTCCCCACCACCCTGTACGCGCACAGGGGCTGCAAGCCTGCCTTCACGGTGTCCATAATTTCCGCCTCACTGCAGTCCACGGGGATACCCACGATCAGCAGGGCCTTTCTGGGGTCCATGTCCATCCCCTTGCACCAATCCTCTAGCAGTGTCGCCGCCATTGCTCCCACTTTCTATGGACTGATCTAATAATAGAGCAGCAATCAGGTCAGTTTGACAGCACTCAAAGAATTCTGAGCCACTGCCACGTAGGAAGGCAGAAGTGTCCCAGGTTTCCACAGCCTGCAAAGGAAATGGGATGAGAGCAGTGTTAATGCCCACCCCAACGTATACCCCCAAGCGCCCCTCCCTTTGCCCCCACCCCCCAGCAGGGATGGACTCCCTGCTTCCCAAGGCTCCCCGTCATTGTGTGGCAGATAGAGTGTGGAGGGTCTCCCCAGGCAAAGATCCCCCCACCTCACCACACTCCCTGCTGACCTCCTCTTGCTGTGGGTTCTTCCTCAATGTCCAGAGGACTCAGCCGTGTCTACTGCAGGTGCCTGTAGTGAAAAGGCCAACGTCAGGAGGCAGGGCCTGACACCTGGGGACAATGACAAGCCCTCCAGGCAAAAGAAGGCAGGAGAGTGCCCCACTGCCCACTCAGGGATATGTGGGTTCAGGTCACCTGGCACCCTCCTTGCTGGAGTCAAAGTGAAGGCTGGCAGCGGGAGAGGTGGAGTGGCCCTCTTTCTCAGGAAATGCCCGACAGAGGAGAAAGATGGCCGGAGCTCTGCGCAATGAAATGAGAGTGGTGGGTGTGGAGATTGTGTGAGAAGCTGCAGTGTTGCCATGGATACAGAGCATACCATGGACCATGGGTTGCTATTGCAGGGGAGTGTCATGTGGTAAGGCTAAGGGCCTTGAGAAGCAACAGGTGATGTCATTGGTCTCCAACCAATAAAGCATCCTAGCAACAAGGAGGGTGGGAGAGGAAAGGGGAGGTAGGCATAAGGAATGAGTGCTCAAAGGACAGGAGCTCATGGTTTCAATTGCGTGGAAGCTGAAATCGGGCAGAAAAGGGACCCATATAAAGTGCCCACTGTCAGACTGCAGGAAACCAACAACTCTTGCCCTACTGATGGCACTATCCTGCAGAGTCTGTGAACCCTGCAGGCAGTCCTGTCTCCTTACTCTTTGCCAGGGTTCCAGAGCCCCTCCCACCAGAGCCCACCTCACAGATGCTCACCTTGCTGGGCTGGCTTTGCTGGCAGCGTGGAGGCTGCAATAACAGCCACTTCACACTTGCTGGGCTCTTCAGCTCTGTCCTGTTAGGCAGCTACAGACTTAGGCGTGACGGGTCCTGATTCACTGGATCTGTGCAAAGCAAAGTAGAGGTATTTTGCTGTGATTTTGTCCCACGCACATGTCTCTGCTCAGGCCATGCCAATTGTGATTCTGCAGAGGTGTCCACTAGTACCCTGGTGCAGAGATAAAAGAAACTGTTCAACAGGCAGAGGGAGGAGGAGGGGGGA